TATTCCTACATGAACAAAGAAATTTGGGGACTCATTTCTTTTCGTACTATTCGTAAGTGGTATTCTTTGCCCGCGCACGTGTTCCCTCCTTTCTACAATCTGAGGTCCTTTAAGAGAGGCGTAAAAAAGCATTTTTGCAGGCCGGCAAGATGTGGATGGTTGGTGTGGCAGTTTATAACTGTACCTATCGCGTTTAGACTTTATCACCACTTAAAATCAGGCGGGGTAGAGTCATTTGCCTACCTGGCTATATATATAAAAAAAAAAAAGTGTTTTGCTGAAAGCAATATATTTATGTCATTACCATAAACAAAAAAATGCATGTGTATACCCGCTAACACTTTACAAACCACAAACCGATTTTCATGCGATTTCCACCGTCAGTAACAAAGCTTGTAAAAATATTTGAATAAAAACTCGAAAGCAAAAACTTTGAAGACTACAAAACACCGATAACAGTTTTAACTACACTGCTAAAGGAATGCTAATATTTTTAGTATTTCAACAAAGCGTCGTGTTCATTTTTAAAACACGAGATAGGAGAAAGAATAAAATTGTTACGAAATATTGCTCTTTTGGAGATGGAAATGCTGTTATATAACAGCATTATGACGGTGCTTGGGTCTAACGATTACTATATTTTTTATAATGTTACAAGTGTGGACATCCAGGGTATGTATGGCCCGAACGCGGAAGAATCAGATAAGAGTTACGGGGTCCTCAGTGGGTAGCTATTGCGGAGGCCCGTAAAGCTTGCGGGAGACAGGTGTGAGGTCCGTTCGGCGGTGTGCCTCTTATAGGCGCCGTCGTCTGTAAACAGGAGCTCTACTCTCTTTCTCCGAAACGAAATTTCGGTAACGAACGAATTTTAAACGAAATTTCGCCACTGACTCTACTCTATTTCATTTTCGATCACGCACATGAAGTTCGGAATCACAGACAATTTTCGTGACCGAATGGAATGAGTCATGTTTGTGAGTTCTATTATCTCCACTTTTTAGATTACCTGTTTTACTTGGAAACAATATTACACTTTACTACAGAATTTTTAATGACATTAAAAGAACCTTCTTTGACAGTGTTAGCCGACTAATTTGTAGAGTTAATGCACTTCATTGCATGTCAACCTAAATTTGTCGTTTAATACGTTGAAGTATTGGAAATATAATAATTAATTAAAATTTGTTGTTTTTGTTAATTTGACATGCTAAAAAATGTTCCTCACGCTAAGCAGCCTTGATTGAAAATACTCTATCAGTCATTTTAGGCTTAATTTAAACAAGTCCCAAAACGAAAAAGAAAATATAACACTTTTCATTTCGTCAATTTGAGGTTAAAATTTCGAACAAATTCAACTTTTCGTTTGAGAGTTTTGTGAATTAGAGTAGGCTTGGAGAATTTAATTGTCAAACTATATTCGGACGAACGAGTTTTCGAATGAAAAGGAAACAGAGTAGGAAACGTGCGAAATTTCGATCGAAATTTATTTCATGAGGGCGCCGGTAGCATAATTGGTCAGTGCATTCGCCCGGATTGCGAAGGGTGCGGGTTCGAGTCCCGTCTGCTGCCTGGTCCGCGTGGAATTTTTTCTAGTTATATTTTCTTTAGATTTAAACATCAAGCAGTTACATGCTTTAATATAATAAAAATTATAACTATAATTGCTATTTCTTCTTTCAAATGTTTAATTCTTGTAAAAGTATTCATTTGACATTGTGGGTTACCTATAATACGAAGAGATGGCTCTGCCTTGCAGCTTAAGAATGGCTAGAAGAATTTCGACGCGGTCCGTGAGGGCCGCGGTAGCATAATTGGTCAGTGCATTCGCCCGGATTGCGAAGGGTGCGGGTTCGAGTCCCGTCTGCTGCCTGGTCCGCGTGGAATTTTTTCTAGTTAAATTTTCTTTAGATACGAAATTTAGTTTTTCGTCGAAATAGAGTAGGCCTCCAGAGGTTTTGCCTGCGTAAACAAAAAAAAGGGTATGTATGGCCCGCCTGATGGTAAGCGGTCACTATTTACACGTACACGCCGTTTCCGCCTCACTCCCCTACCCCGTGGAACCTCGAAACCTTACTCACCAACGGTGACTTGGAGATATAAAGAAGTTCCGAAACATAATTTTTAGATTATTTTAAGGCATCGGGGATTTTTGAATTTTCAAGTAAACTTTTTACCTTGAGAAATTTTTAAATTCGTGAAAAACATTAAAATGCGCTAGCTCTTGGCATTCCCTTGCAGATAGAAAAACTTATTCAAAAATACAGTCACGACAATTTAAGAAACTGTTTTGGGTGATAGGCAGACCATTTTTCAATTTGATTTGATTTCCGATACAAGCTTCTATCCATCGTCTAAACATTCAGGAAAGCTCCCAAATAGGTTCGCTTTGATATAGATTCCATCGCCTCGTCAATATTTAGCAATGCAGTTCTCTGAGAATAGGGGCGGTATACTTTCACCCGCGCTGGCCGCTAGCCAGGGACGCACTCGGCGTTACTATAAAGCATGGCATATACATTTCTACTATTGTAGCAAAGAGTAACTGAACTGTTAGTGTACTATATGTAGGTAGGTAGTACTGAAGTGACTCGTCCACGCTTCTCTTCGACATAGTCTAAATATATTTAATTAATTGAGAACTTCGGATATTTTGTATGGTTTCGTTTGAAATTCGTGATTTCTCGAAAACCGGAAGGGCTACGATACTCAAATCCGGTTTGTAGTCTTATCAGACTATTCTTAACTTATAACTTAAATATTCTCTTTATCTATCTCTTACGGTTTTGCCGCTGAAACAGCACCACAGACCGACAGACGGACGGACTTGTCTAATAGATAAGAGATTATTTTAAGCTTTCAGTGATTTCTTATAAAAACCTCATAGTTTTTAGGAGTTTGCAATTAATATTGTTTATTTCAATATATGTACTTACACAAATATTTCATGTTTAATTAGATAATATACTGTTCATTATTTTTTGTAAAACGGAACATTTTCCTTTTGATACAGACATGAAGTCAATTTGTATACTTTTAAATATATGATTATTTCATGAAAGTTATATGAGAATAATCAACACGTATTATAATGTTACGGGCTAATGCGGAATAATTATACACGTCAAGGGCAGTTTCTTAGTCCTGTCCTTTGATATGGTTATGTGTAAAATAGGAGATGGCAATACGCTTGATAATGCGATCAATCTGCCAGCACCCGTAAATCTATATAAAAATTTGAGCAACAAAATCTCGATATGAACAGTCGATGTTGCTCGGAAACCAAATGACGCTCTATCACTTTTCTCTCCCCGTGCCTAAACACAAGTTCCAGTGAGCCGAGATTAGGGTTACCATATCTCAGGATTTGTCCTGAGATATCAGGATTTTTGTACTCTTCTCAGGATTGCGGCTGGATTTTGCAAATCTCATGAAATCTCAGGATTTTTTGAATTTCCAATAAAATACAGCTTACTATAAAAAGTTAAACTAATAATAATCTTCTATTGGTAATAATTGCACAATTAAAATCAGTACTTTATTATCCAAGTAAGTACTTAATCAGTTTTATCATACTTAATATGTGAAGATACATTTTTAAGTAAGGTTTTTTCTTTAATTATGGATTCATATAATGCCCCACATGTCAAGCTCTTCAAATTATATTGATTTAAAAGTGTAAGCAGAGTATAAACGATAATATTACGACTTTTTTAAATTGTTAAGTACTTTTGAGAGAAAATTTTCAAACTGTAAAAAATCTCAGGATTTTTCAATGGAACTCAAGCTTTTTCTCCGGCTTTTGATTTTGTCATCTGGTAACCCTAGCCGAGATACAATGAGTGTTTGGAACCGGTTCCGCGACCCGCGCAGCCTTCAAATAGTGGATATATCAACGAGCGAAAGCAGCTAAACCACTGCTCGCTGCACTCTCGTTCTTGTTTCAAGATCAAGATTACTAACACATTTTGGTGCGGCTTGCGCAACAGTAATAATGTCAGTCTGTCTGTCTGTCAACTGTTAAATGGTCGTCGCGTCGTGGAAGGCACATTATCGTAGTTGCATTCTTTATAGTCGTCAATAGGTCAGAGGCGAAGGTTTAGAGCAGTGATTCCCAAAGTGGTCTATATCGACCCCTAGGGGTCTATGACAACCTGCAAGGGGTCTACGACACAAAAGAGTTTGGGGAACTCTGGTTTAGTCTGCACGCTGTTTAGACAATAAAGCAACAATTGGATACTTACGAGTGAAGTAATGCAGTTCCCAGTGATGTTATATACAAGAATAAACGGAATGATGAAGCACGTTATCAGTTGAAGAGGACATAGGATGAGATTAAGTGATTTAGCGTGGGTATAAGCCTTACTAGAGCTAGCGTAGCGGTTCATCTGACTAACCCGTTTTCCACAGAGCTAGTTTCTTTTTCTAAATAATATTTTATTACCAATCAATTAAGGAAGTACCGTTTTGGCAGAAATCTAGGCGTTGCGTCATCATCTCATAAATTATAAAAAAAACAAGTATGTTTTTATTTACATAAAAAAGCTGCCAATCAATTTGGGATTGCGAATTTAAAATATGCCAGATTATAACAGATTCATACCAAATATTAACGAATCAACAAAACTAAAATTTTGAGGGATATTTCTCGGGTCGAAAGTGTCGCATCAGTTTATTCTAGAATCGGATATTTGTAGAAACAGTCAAATAGAATTGTACATTTCAAGAATTGGTCAAGTATAGACCATGTAGTCATTTCGCGAATCGGTCATTATTAGACTAAACCACTGAGTTTAGATATTCTATTACTGAAGTTAAAGACGACCAGGGGGCCATTCGCCTAACGGAAATGCTTTGGAAAACTCTAACGCTTTGGATTTTATTTTGTTATTTCTGACCACCGAAGGTTTTCAAATACCTCACGCTCATTTTTTTTAATATTGTTATTACCAAAGCAAAAGAAAAAATATTCGCGCGAGGAATTTGAAAACCTCAGGCGGTTAGAAATAACAAAATGAAATCGTAATCGTTAGCGTTTTCCAAAGCATTTCTGTTAGGCGAATGGCCCCCAGATAGGCATATACAAGGGCGTCGCCAGCTTATGACTAAGTGGGGGGCCATGGGACAATATTATGGAGAATAAAAAATATGAACGCCGAGAGCGTTTCATCGTTACACTTTGGAAGACTTTGCCTCGATGACGATTGTAATAAGAACGGTTCTAATGGCAATGTATAAAACTTGACAAGCCCTCCACAGCATAATACTTAAATCAAACTTGTTAATACAGTAATAACTATTTATTTTAAAAAAAACAATATTTAATTAAAACATAACCTGTGGGGATTTTTTGCAATACTTTCAACCACTTTATCATAAAAAATATTTAGGTTTTTATTTATTATAGCTCTGTGTACACTCATCATGGCCAGACCATTAAGGCCATCAAAGGCTCTTTTGCCATGGTGCTTCTTAGCCATGTTTTAAGTCTTCTGAGGCTGCTAAAGGATCGCTCTACTGTACAGGTCGTGTATCAAAATTTTCAATGCTTTTTCCGTTTCGTGAAACAAGGAATTTGTTTCTTTTTGGACATCAACAACTGTTAGATTTGTTAGATTAAGCCTATCGCGCCACAATTGCTGCCAAAGTTTGACATCATTCTTTATGTTCGGTAAGTCATAAAACTGGGCAATAGATTCACAAGTTTGTTTCAGATTTTCAGTTGTCATCTTTTGCTTCTGCGCCGGGTGTAACTTAGATAATGCGAATGATAGCGTGTTTTCTTCAGCAAAACTTACTTCAAGGGAGGTGATAATTGAATCCAAGTATGGTATTACTAAAGACCTCTTCCAGTATTCTGAAGGGCTTTCTGCTGTATGATTGCTTTTATGACGATGTTTCCCCGTAATACGCGGCATTGATGTAATGTCCTCCCCTAGTCCGACTCTCTCCGCAACAGCAGTAGCTGTTGGAGTTGTAGCTTTATAATTTCGTCTGTTTCTTTTTCCAGATTTTCACGGTGGTTTTTAATTAAAAGTTAAATCCTTTTAACGTGTTCCGAGGCTTTAACCACGTCCAAAGCTACAGATTGGAGTACGTTGACAACGGGTTCCATCAAAGCCGAGTATTTATTTGGCTACCAACATTATCCCGAGAATGAAAGAAATTCTGGAAGTAGCCGCATGCAGTTGGAAGGCACTTTTCCGAGTTGCACTATTTCCTTCCTGAGATAATGTTTGTAAGGCTTCCAGAATTACTAGAAGATTTTCTTTAAAAACTCTGATGGTTTTGTGTTGTTCACTCCCATGTTGTCTCGCAGTCTGGAAATATTAGGAATCAACTTCCTCCTCAAAACTGATTCCCAAAAAAGTTTACATCATCAATCAATTGCTCGCACTTTAGTCGCTTTGCGGCTAGCTACTTTTTGATCTCTGGCCTTTACCCCTCCCCCCCTTCCCCCTCCTTGGCGACGCCCTTATCATCATGTTTTGAACGTTTTCGTTAAGTGGGATGGTGTTACGAAATTTAGCTATTAATAGTCTTATCCTGAATATTTTAGGTATAATTATTTTAATTTTCAAACGGTTTGGTTAACGTTTGGCTGCAATCTAATCTTGATCGTAGATCCTTATCTACAGTATTGTAGCCTATGTCCTTTCAAAGGCTATACTTTGTCGTGAAAAGGAAAGTGGAAGGAGCGAAATGGGGTATAAATTAATGTCAACATCATCAGTCTATTAATGTCCCCACTGCTGGGGCACTGGCCTTCCCTATGGATGGAATAGGGACATTGGGTCATGACCCCACCACGCGGGCCTAGTGCGGATTGGCAACGGCTTAGCGTGCCTTTCGAAGCACGGAGGAACCCGAGATAGAAGATTTTTGGTCACCCATCTAATGACAGACCACTGCGAAAGTTGCTTAACTTCAACGAACGCGCTAACCACCTACGCCCTCGAGCTCCTTAGCAAATCATGAAAAAATGTAAAAGATAAGAATCAGTAACAAGTAGTAGAGGCGACCAACTAATAAGAACTATTTCCTAAAGTAAATTGGAAAAATTCCCTCGTTTTTCGAAGTAGACAGAGAATAGCTATTATTACACAGAGGACATTATTCCTTTCCATTAGGCTATTCCCGAGTTGGAATGAGGACGTGGCTAGACGGCGGGGAGGCTAATAGAAACAAATAGAGATAGCTTGTAGCGACAAAAACATCTTACTCGCCTCGCCATAGGTCAATCGCCGAATGAGGCATAAAGAGAACGAAAACGGCCCAAAGTCTACAACAAACAGTATGGTGGGCTTTGTTTTTAATGGCTATCTGCGACTGTTAAGAGCCCTTTTACAAAATTGCGCCGCTGCCGTACTGATCGGCGCGTAGGCAGATTTGCACTAGTACATATTGTATTTTACGGGTGATGTTTCGAGTCTTATAAAATGATTATTAATGAGGTAATTATAAAAAATATATACATATTTCAGTAGTTCAATGATGGCAGATTAGTTTTATGAAAGTTTTTGATAGTAATTCTATTTAATTAAATATCAAAATACGAGGTAAACCTGCATTATTTTATTGCTAAACTCACGGAGGTTAGATGATTTTTTGATAATTAATGATATGGAAAATCAAAATTCTAATACATTATGTTACAACAAAAACATATTTTAGATGTCGTAGTAATTAATTTGATCTTATTTATTGATCATTATTAAGAGATTGAGGCGTTTCAAGTTGTGCATATTATCGTTTTTTCCGTAAACTAGCTGCGGTAGAACGATCAGTACAAAAAAAGGAAAATAGTATTTGCAAATATTCTACATTAACTTACAATAGGAAGAACAAATCTACTGTTTACTTCTATTGGAAATAGTCAAAATCTTATCTAAGGGGGTAAACGAGGCGCTCAAAAATTACAATTTATAGCAAAAAATGTGAAAGGGCTCTTAAATAATAATGTTTATTTTTGAGAAAGAAGTTACTGGTAGGTTTGAATAAAAATAATTATAATTAATATACACATATATATAGAAGAATATAGAATGAAAATATGAATGAAGCCCCACCTTTTCATGCAACGATAAACGATTTCGATTCAAATTTATTGTATCAGATTTTGATAGCATCACGTTTATCCATTGCTTGCAACAACAAACAAACTTATTTTCCCGCGAGTCACGGTTGTTCATCATACTTCATCATCATCATCATCATCATCAGCCTATTAATGTCCCCACTGCTGGGGCACAGGCCTTCCCTATGGATGGAATAGGGAGATTTGGCCATGACCCACCACGCCGGCCAGTGCGGATTGGTGGGTGCTAACGACTGCAGATGCAGCCGGGAGCAACGGCTTAACGTGCCTTCCGAAGCACGGAGGAACTCGATATAGTAAATTTTTGGTCACCCATCCAATGACCGACCACTGCGAAAGTTGCTTAACTTCAACGATCGCAGCTGATCGCGCTAACCACTTGCGCCATCGAGCTCCTAATAATAAAAATAAATCATACTTATTTGCGTATTTTTATTCGTCATTTAGTATTTAGTAGAGTTTCGTTCGGTTACGGATAACTGAATGTAATTGAAGAGTCTCCGTCTTTCGTCTTCTTCGACTTCGATCGACGATGGACTCGTCAATTGATCAGTTGCAGCAAAACGGGTTTTTCTAGACGTGAGGTAATTTTTTCTGTTTTTCGCAAGAGTCAGTACCCTTAGTACGAGTTTTACAATTACGAAAACTATGATAGGTTTGTTTTCGTTTCAATACAAAACAGTGTTTGCATGCGGGTGATGTCGGGGTACAGTAAACGAAATTCTATTTAGTCCGTCAGTTAGATATCAAAAAATAATGGACACGTATTTTTTCTTTGGGCAATCAACCAAAAAATGACAAAGTTATAGCGCGTCAAAGTTTGGGAGAAGGGGCTCGTGACTCGTGACGTCACTTTTAATTGAAAATTGTACCAAAACGTGACGTCATGCAACTTCTCAAACCAATATATCTCTGCAATGTTTATATAATGTGAAAAAAAAAAATGTCCAATACTTTTTGATAATCTACCTGATAAATGAAGAAAAAAAATTAGTCATCATCCCTATTCTATCATGAAATCATTTGCGTCTTCTTAAATTTTAAGTATATTTGGTTACTTTTTACCGAAATGGACATAGAAACATAATTTACAATTACGTGATAGTTTTCATGAGCTCGCACTCGTACTAAGGGTACTAATTTTATTGTTTTCTTTTCAACACAAAACAGTGTTTGAATTCTATCATTAAATCATTTGCGTCTTCTAAAATTTTAAGTATATTTGGTTACTTTGCACCGAAATGGACATAGAAACATAATTTACAATAACGAAAACTGTGAGTTTTCATGAGCTCGCACTCGTACTGAGGGTACTAATTTTATTGTTTTCGTTTCTACACAAAACAGTGTTTGAATTTTATCATTAAATCATTTGCGTCTTCTAAAATTTTAAGTATATTTGGTTACTTTGCACCGAAATGGACATAGAAACATAATTTACAATAACGAAAACTGTGATAGTTTTCATGAGCTCGCACTCGTACTGAGGGTACTAATTTTATTGTTTTCGTTTCTACACAAAACAGTGTTTGAATTTTATCATTAAATCATTTGCGTCTTCTAAAATTTTAAGTATATTTGGTTACTTTTCACCGAAATGGACATAGAAACATAATTCACAATTACGAAAACTGTGATAGTTTTCGTGAGCTCGAACTCGTACTAAGGGTTCTAATTTTATTGTTTTCGTTTCTACACAAAACAGTGTTTGAAATCTATCATTAAATCATTTGCGTCTTCTTAAATTTTTAGTATATTTGGTTACTTTTCACCGAAATGGACATAGAAACATGATAGTTTTTGTGAGCTCGAACTCGTACTAAGGGTATTGTGGTCCAGCATGCTACCAGTATCGATTGCAGCGTGGTGCGGGGCTGCCGGCCTGGCTACCGGCTGCGTCCTTGGCCCGAACGCGACGTCTGCGCCGCTGCTGACGTCATACCCCCCACCCTCGCGACACGGGTCATCCGTGACGTCACCACCACTCGTTAGCGACGCGACCCGCTGACAGACGGTTCCATCACGCATTTTTATTTGACTCGCTTTAAGCACTTAAAGAAGCCAGAAATAGAAACGAAATAGTGAGGATGTTACGACATTTTCCCCGAGCATGATCAAAGAAAAGTTTTATATTGGATGTCATTAGGGCTCGAAATACTAACATCTACAGCAATACACAAGTAATATCTACATTTTCATTGAACAATAAATGGCTGCACAGTTATTAAGTGATAACTTTCACTCTTGGATTGGACCTTATTAAATCCATAACGCAAATATCGTAAAATCTGTACTAGGGAAAATACTGATAGTATACACACCCAACATATTGTTTTGACATAATGCAAACTCATTCGCTTTCGCTGAACTGTAGCGACGGAATAACGTCAAACACGCTAGCTACTAACTTTCCCACGTAGATAGTAAAAGTCTATCAACTGAGAGTGCTTCTAAACAACAACATAACACGGTCGATATTATTACCTATGATGAAATAATATCTATTGATGAATTTCACCTTATCCCCTGGTCTGTGTAGCCATCCATTTTGTTTTCACGGTCGGGAAATAAAAAAAAAACAGACGATTTTTCTCTCATTTCTCAAAGTTTTACTGTAAATCCAGGCTTTATTCATGTCTTAAATCAATTCTGAATAATTTCTTTACAAACTTATCTATGTATAAGATATGTAAATTAAAAACCATTACTAAATATGATAAAACGCAAAATATGAAAAATGGAAATAATTTCCTCAACTCGTGGCAGAAATCGTCCACTTACACAGACGAGGGGTTATGAGGATTTATATTAATGTATTACTTGTAATAGCACAAATGAAGATTTATATTATACGAGGCTCAGTAAATTGCCTCACCCTATCTAACGTTAAGTGTAAATGGAGTTCAGTCGCGGACATATAGCTAATATAGCTCGCCTTCCGCCATCCTCACTTTGCCAAACTGAACCCAATAAGGATAAGCTAAAAGGTAGTGTTACGGTAGGAAGACAACACTTCTAAAAGGTAGTGTTACGGTAGGAAGACAACGCTTCTAAAAGGTAGTGTTACGGTAGGAAGACAACACTTCTAAAAGGTAGTGTTACGGTAGGAAGACAACACTTCTAAAAGGTAGTGTGACGGTAGGAAGACAACACTTCTAAAAGGTAGAGTTACGGTAGGAAGACAAAGCTTCTAGAAGGTAGTGTGACGGTAGAAAGACAACGCTTCTAAAAGGTAGTGTTACGGTAGGAAGACAACACTTGTAAAAGGTTGTGTTACGGTAGGAAGACAACGCTTCTAAAAGGTAGTGTTACGGTAGGAAGACAACACTTCTAAAAGGTAGTGTTACGGTAGGAAGACAACACTTCTAAAAGGTAGTGTGACGGTAGGAAGACAACACTTCTAAAAGGTAGAGTTACGGTAGGAAGACAAAGCTTCTAGAAGGTAGTGTGACGGTAGGAAGACAACGCTTCTAAAAGGTAGTGTTACGGTAGGAAGACAACACTTGTAAAAGGTTGTGTTACGGTAGGAAGACAACACTTCTAATAGGTAGTGTTACGATAGGAAGACAACGCTTCTAAAAGGTAGTGTTACGGTAGGAAGACAACACTTCTAATAGGTAGTGTTACGATAGGAAGACAACGCTTCTAAA